CACTGATGCCTCGGATGGTCCCTCATGTCCTTCCTCCCCACTTCTCAGGCCAGCTGATCTGTTCGTCTCCTTCCTCAGAGTCCCAGCCTACTCATCGGCCCCAGGTTGTCTCCGAGCTTTTGCTGTTTCCTTGTTTCTCTGCTTTCACTGTATCCCAGCCTATCCTGACAGCAAGGAGGGCAGAATGTAGCTCGCCTGGTACCGCCCCCGTCACAGCGGAAGCCCAGAACCCCCCCCCACCTCCCCACCCCTCACCCCATGCATCTTTTCTGGTGACAGGGAGAAGAGGTGCCGCACCTCATCGTCCCTCTCATTGTTGGACATGCCATAGAAACCCGCCTTCTGTTTGGTGGTCGTCAGCTGTAACATGCTTGAGAAACCTGGAATTAGGAAACTACTTAATTAGGGAGGATGTTCTCCCTGGATATGCACAGTTCCCGGTGGCCACCCAACCCAGCAGCTAATTGCTACTTTTAAGATGGTGCCGCTAGGCACTCACTCCCTTGATTTTATTTTCTGTGACACAAGGGCTTGCTGGATGAAGTGGGGCTCTTCTCCGCGTTCCCACTCCACCCTGCTGTCAGCAGACTCCAAGGAGGTGCCAGGAGTAAGGAGGGTGGAGCCTTCGCTCTCAGAGACCCCTGTCCCGCTTGGGCAAGCATATGCCCTAAGTTGAAGATGCATGGTGGATGCCCAAGGAACTCCTCTGAGGGAGGGCCTCGGAGTCCAGCGGGAGAGGTGGGGGCTAAGGTTGGGAAAGGAGGGAGAAAGGGGGTAAAGAAAAGAAACGTGGATGGGTGGGAAGGAAGGGTGGATTGCCGCACAGAAGTAAGTGATTAAGGAATATGGAGAGGCGGCTCAGTGGATAAAACACTTGGCACACAAGCATTAGGACCTGAGTTCAGATCCCCCAGTGGCCACATAGAAGGCAGGTGGGCTCGGAGTGCATTAGCCTGAGCCCTTGGGAGATGGGGACAGGTGGCAAGAGCATGCTGGCTGGCTAGACAAGGCCTGGGTTCAGCAAGAGACCCTGCATCGGTAATGAAGTGAGTAAAGATTGCAGACGACACATGATGTCAGCCTCTGTCTTCTGGATGCACACACATGAACACGCATGCAACTATACATACACCACACTCACACGTTTTTCCAAAAGGGAAAGGAGGATTGAGGGATGGTGGGGTTCATGGGAGAGGAGAATTCTCTGATGGAAGCTGGATTTAGGAACAGAGCAGAAAAGCGGGTACTCTTAGAAGTGGGGAGAAGCTGGGGTGGACATGGAACATGCCAGAGCTGACTGTCACCTGAACCGGATTAAGAACTGTGAGCAGGGACTTGGGAAGTGACTCAGTTGCTAAACTGCCTGTGTTGCATGCATGAGGATTTGCAGTCTGTCTCTAGCACCCACATTCAAATAAGTCAATTGGTCAGGGCAGTCAGCCCACCCATGGTTCCAGCATGGGTTGATGGAGGCAAGAAGGTGAGCCAGCATAGCAGGTGAACCCCAGATTCAGCGAGAGACCCTGCCTCAGAAAATAAGGTAGATGTGACCGAGGGAGACATCCCCCAACTTCAGTCTCTGACCTCCACACATGTATGAAAACACATGTGTTCACCTGCATACACGTGTGCCTATGTACTCATGGACACTCACTGCACATACACACACGAAATCTGAGACTGACTGAGGCACACCTCAAGCTATGCCTGTATGGATGTCTCCAGAGACAGATCTGAGGGCTCTACATGATGGGTGGATGGGTGGGTGTATGGACGGATGGATGGACAGACGGACTGACGGACAGGTTTCTTCATGGACTCATAATTAAGTGGCATTATTGGAAGGTGGTAAAGGGTAGGGGTGGGGCCTGTCTGTGGGAAATAGGTCATTGGGTCATGTCCCTGGAGGATACATCTTGTTCTGATGATCTTGTTTTGTTTTGTTTCCCATCCATCATGAAGAAGCTGTTCTATCACACACTCTAGTCACCACGGTATTTCTTCCTCACAGTACACCTAGAAACAGGAAGCCAAGTGCCCATGCCCCGAGCCCTCTGACACCAGAATAGTTCTTACCTCCAGTTATTTCTTCCAGGTCTTTTGTTTTTGTTTTGTTTGTTTGTTTTGGTCTAAGCAATAAGACAACACTTTGGGAGGTGTGGGAAGCAAGGAACAACTGAGTTGGAGAAGGCCAGCACAGCAGCGGCGCTCTGCGGAGCTTGGGACCCGCTGTGGGTGTAGACAGAGTGGAGCCTTCCTTGCCATCCGTGGCTCTGCAGCTTTGCCACACAGCAGTGACCCCCGCCTTCCACAGGTTGCGGTCCAGTGTCTTCCTCGATGATGCTGCACTTTGTGTACTGAGGCGGGACTTAGGAACTCGATTTGCCTCCAGGTGATATTTCTGGGGCAAGGGGTCATATGGAAGGAGTATAGAAGGGAAGGGAAGGACCCTTCCAAAAACAGTGACACACGCCACATCATAGGGACACAGCCAAACAGCCATGATGGTGAAGGGGAACAGATGGCAGGATGACCAATCTTGGTCCTTGTGCATATCTGCTTCAAGGCGTGGCCTTCTGGATGCCTTGTGCCTGGCCATCATGACAGATGCAAAGAATTGGATAGAAAGTCTCCCCGTGGGTGGTGAGATGGCTTAGCTGGCAAAGGTGCTTACTGCCAGACTGACAGCCTGGGTTTGACCCCTGGAGCCCACATGGTTGGAAGGAGGGAACCGACTCCCTCAAGTTGTCCTCCGACCTCCACGCACAAGCTGTGGCTCACACAAGCACACATACACTAACTGAATAATATATGATCATTTTCTAGAGGGATTCAAGCTTCCACACTGCACTGGCTTATCATTTCTCCTTAGTCTCCTCTGTCATTCAGTCCTTGATCTTTGTTTTGAGGACTGCTGGATGGTTATTCTGCAGGCTCAACTATTTAAATTCAACTGTTGTTTTCTGATGGTTCCATTGAGGACCGTGGAAGAGACACTGTCCTTCCCAGTGTGTCATGTTCTAAGGTTCATGGTGTTAGGGTGACTTATTACTGGAGGCGCTGACCTTGGTTGCTTGGGTAATAATAGGGTGTGTGGTTAACCACAGAGTTGCTGTTATGGAGGACAACCTCTCATAGCTGTGTGGCTTTCCACCATAGATCCCCAACACTCAGACCCTGCCTATTTCCTTTGTGACCTTCTCTGCTATTACAAAGATCACCCTGGTGACCTTCCTTCTGGGCACATCTTTTTGCAAAACGCTGACTATTTCATTAGAAGAGTTAGAGCTTACTGAGCTCGCTCACACTTTTAAGGCAGTGGAGACTGAGGAAGTGCTGTCGGCTCGTGTATGTGTGTGTGACTCAGTCTGATTCAAGTGTGATGTACAAAAAGAACACAACTTTACAGCACAGTTTCTGTGAGCTGGGGCATGTGACCACACCCACAGAAGCACCATCGCAATCAGTGAAGAACCTTCTGTTATTTCCCATAGTCCCCTGGCAACCCTTTAGAGTCCCATCCTCACCGTAGACAGCCAGGGTTCTGGATTTATCACCATAGCTTAACGTTATCTATTCTGAGACTGCATATAAATGAGAATTGTGTGTGTGTGTGTGTGTGAGAGAGAGAGAGAGAGAGAGAGAGAGAGAGAGAGAGAGAGAGAGGATACCCATGTGTGTATGTCTTTTGTGTGTATGTGTGCACGTGAAGGCCCCAAATGGATGTCAAGTGTCTTCCTCACTTTAGGTACTGAGGCAGAATCTCTCACTGAACCTGGAGCACACTGATCCAGCTACTCTAGTTAGCCAGCTTTCCCTGGGATCCCTTGTCCCTGACTCCCAGATGAGGATTATAGATGCGCTGCCACACCTACCTGGTTGGCTTTCATGTGATATGGTAGGGATCTGAACTCCAGTCCTCACATGATTGGCAAATACTTTATCCACTAAGTTGTTCCCCCAGCCCAATATGGACGTACCATAATGCCTGTGAAATCCCTCCACATCGATAGGTATATCAGTCACCTATTGGTTGCAACAACTTACATTTTTGGTTGTGAGCCTAGCCTGTAATGGCCGAGCCATCTCTCCAGCTCATAGTTGCAATAACTATTTTATAAATATTGCAAGTTTTTTTTTATGTGTTCAGCTATGGGTGATGTGTTTGGTCATTTTCCAATCAGTGGGTCTTATGACTACAGCCGCCAAGAACATTTCCCACAAGTAGACCCATGTCCATTTATTTCTCTTAGAGGACCTCTTTGGAGGGGTGTGAATGGTTCCCTGTCAAGTTAGTGTTCATGTTCACTAGATTCCATGTAGAGGGGGTACATTAGCCTCCCTTTCCTAATACAGGCCCTCTTGAGTCTTGTTCAAGGCCAAAGGGAAGAAGGAGCCTTGAACCTGTGGCCTGGCCCCGAACGAAGTCCTCTTCCTGCTCACTCTCTTTAATTTTCAGAGCAACTCCATGGGGTAAAGAATGGGACTCTCATTCTGGGGCTTGTCAGTATGACAGAAAAAAGTGAGGCCCCATGTCAGGATCTTTCCCAAGGCAGCATCTGGCCCCTTTGGAGCCACAGAGGTGGGGCTACCCTTGGAGCCCAGCCTGGCTTTCTTGGCTGCTACATTGTGGTGCCACAGTCAGCCCTCTTGGGTAACTTGGGGTAGGCAGCAACTGCCCTCTGCCCTCCATACTGCACCCAGTCAGACGTGAGCACGCCCACCCCCTGTCCAAAATGTTGTTTCCCAATCCCTGACCTGATCCTGGCACTTTGATCTTGTGGACAGTGGGCAGTGGGTGGTGGACAAGGACTTCAGGCAGGAGCCACGTCTCCCTGACCACATCCATCGGTCCCCATTAGAGCCAGCTTGAGTGCTTTCCGAAGCTGATTAATGGCCTGCCTATGACCTGGACTGTCATTATGGCCGTGCCTGGGCCCCAGCCCTGTCCTCTGGGTCTTTGCTGCTAACACTAATTGATGCTTTTTGTGTGGTTGCAGGGAAAGTTTTATCTGGTCATTGAGGAGCTGAGCCAGCTGTTCAGATCACTCGTTCCCATCCAGCTGTGGTACAAATACATCATGGGGGACGACTCCTCCAACAGCTACTTCCTAGGAGGGGTCCTGATCATTCTCTACAGTCTGTGTAAGGTGAGCTGGCCCAGGCCATGCTGGGCCTGGCTTAAGGGGATGATGACGAGCGAGAGCCAGCCACTAATATTTTCAAATCAAAATATATTTCATGTAGCATTGAATTAACTATCAGTCAGTCTATCTATCTCTTCTTTTTTCTTTCTCATGCTGGGAACTGAATCCAGGGCTTGGCTCATGGCAGGCACTCTACCATTATGCCACGACCCTCTTTAAAACTCTGACACAGGGTCTCACCAAGTTCCCAACCATCCTTGAACTTCCAGTCCTCCTGTATCAGCCTCCAGAGAAGCTGGGGAGGGTTACAGGTCTGCATCAGCAGGCCTGGCTGCTGCTAACCTTATGTTGTATGCAGTCAGGGGAATTTGCTGGCACAGTGTGCTGTAACCACCTCCTCTGTATGTTTCCAAGCCTCATCCCACAAAGAAACCCAGAACCCAGTACCATTCTCCATTCCTGCTGCTCCCCAGCACCCAGCAGCCACGAATCCACACCCTGTGTATACAGATTTGCTGGTGTTGAGTGTTCGATGTCAGCGGGCTGCGCAGCGACCTTTCCAGTGTGGCTTGTTTGGTTTGCCATAACATTTTTGAGACTCGTGTGCATCATAGCATCATATCATATACCAGTACTTTTTAAAAATGAATTTATTTAATATTGGAGCTGGGCGTGTCCACACCACAGTGTACATGTAGAGGTCTGAGGAGAACTTGCAAGAGTCAGGTTTATCGTTCACCCTTGTGGGTTCTGGGGATTGAACTCAGGAAGTCAGACTTGATGGCCAGTGCCTGTACCCACTAAACCATCAAATCGCTCCCTAGAAGGAAACTCTCATTCTCTCTCTTGCCTCTCTTCCTTCTGCCTTCTCCTTTTGGCTTTAAAGGGTCTGGGGACAGTGAATGCCTTCCTGCAGGGTCAGTCAGCAATCCAGGCAGAAACAGCCTTGGGGCCCCTGTTGCTCACTCTGATCAGCTACCAGTGACTGGCTCTAGTGGTGGAAGAGAGCTATGATTGATTAGTAGTGCCTGCCCTGGGCTTGGCAAGGGGAAAGACAGTATATATGCTATTTATGTATCTGATGGGGTAACGGAGGAGCCTGGACAGAAGTCAGGAAAATGGATAGAAGTGGAGAGGTGTTTCCTGAAAGTGATCAAAGGCGAAGGTGGGTGCTGCCAGGAGGAGGTTCTCAGCCTCCCTCTGCTTTGCTTCCAGTCTTTCGACATCTGTGGCCGTGTGGGTGGAGTCAGGAAAGCCCTGAAGCTGCTTTGCACCTCGCAGGTGAGTGAGCCTGGGCTTGGCTGGGGCCCTGGGAACCAAACACTGCAGCCTGCAGCAGCCCCTTCTCACCCCCCAGACACTGCCTCCCCCGAGGGCTCACAGCTCTTTGCCTCCCCTGCCCCCACTTCCTCAAACAGAATTACGGGGTCCGAGCCACAGGACAGCAGTGCACAGAAGCAGGCGCCATCTGCGCCATCTGCCAGGCTGAGTTCCGAGACCCCATGATTCTCCTGTGCCAGGTGAGTAGCAGCGTCCACTCAGGAAAGCCGGGCCGGGAGCGCACCGCAGGGCTCCAATGTGGACTGTGGGGGCAACCTGTCAAGACCAGAGGCAGCTAGACCAAGGTTTGAATCTCAGCCCTGCCCCTTACTGGCTGGATAGCGGCAGCTGCTTTTCTCTCTGAACCCCAGTGTTGGGTTCAGAGAACTTATCTGCGTGGATCTAACTCAGGGCCTCCTCATGCTGAGCGTGCACTGCACCTATGAACACCTCCCGCATTCCACGTTGTTTGTTCTTTTGAGACAGGGTTTCACCGAGCCGCTCAGGAATCCTGGAACACAGGATCCTCCTGCCTCCACCGCAATGGCAGGGTGGAGGGTGGGGTGGGGAGGTGGGCTGTTGCCATCCCAGCTCCCCATGATGCTGCCTACTACATATGTGTCCACTGCAGTTAAAACGAGAGGTAATACCGACTGTTGCATCTGCTCTGGCTGCATTTAGACGAGGTCATCTGTGCAGAGCTAAACCTGCGGGACTGAACCGCAATGGTTGCCAGCGTTGTCTTTGTTATTTTCTGCGCAGTTATCATTATCCTTTATTCTCATTATTACCGGGGTCCCCAAGCCATGGTGGTAAGTGCTTTGACTCCCTAATGTGCCCCTTACCCTCTCCATGACTTCAGGGGCCAGGTGTCAATTCAGTAAATGTGAGCTGGGTCAGAGCAACCAATCAGAGTTCAGAGGTGAGGTGGAGGACGCACACAGAGCCTGTGCCTCCTCTGGAAGCCCTCGGCCTCCCTAGGGATGCAGACACATATTCATAAATAACTATGAAGCAAGGCAGGCAGTGATAAGAGCTGTGTAAGAGAGATTCATGCAGAGTCCCCAGGGATGGGGCAGAGAGTGACATGCTCCTGTCTGAGTAGGCTTTTTGCATAAGCCTGAGTTCCAGAAGGACTGAGAAGAAAGGCAGATGGCCTCTCTAACACCCTCGGAAGACGGGATAGGAAGCAGAGGCCTCTTTTAGCATTAGCAAAAAGAAATTTGTTATTGCTGCTTTTGAGAGAGATTTCATACGAGTTTTTTTTTATTGAAATTTTAACGTTTTGTCCTTTTGTTTTGTGAGACTGGGTCTCATGTAGCCCAGACTAGTGTCATAGCCTCAAGCTCACTCTGTAGCTAAGAATGCCCGAACCACATCCTTCTGCCTCTGCCTCTGAAGCACTGGGGTTGTAAATGTACACTGCCATGCCCAGGGCCTCGTGTCTGCTGGGCAGACAGAACAGTCTACTGAGCTACCACCCATCCCCTTAATGGTTTTTTTTTTTTTTTAATTGACAGCGTAGCCAGATGTGGTGGTATACATCTTTAATCCCAGCACTTGAGAGGCAGAGGCAGAAGAATCTCCCTCCACAAGTTCTAGGCCAGCCTGGGCTCCATTTGGATCCCAAGTTAAAGGATGATAAAAAGAAAACAAAAAAAAAAAAAAAAAACTTGTGTGCTTTGATGAAATTTAAATTAAGCCTGGGATCCATCGGTAGTAATGTGTCATCCTAGTTCTTTGCACTTTGACAGGTCCTCTTCCCAGTCACGCAACAAATGCGATGGAAAGGTGGTGTTTCCAGCATTGAACTTATCCATGACTTTAAACTTCTTTCAGAATGAAAGGGTTGGTTTGTTTTAAAGAAAAAAACAAATATGCAATATATACCAAGATGGAGCCAGCAAAGTGGCAAGGGGTGTCAACAGGTAAATGCGCTTGCTCCCCAGCCAGGGGACCCCCGTACATTCTCCCCTGACTTCCACACATGCACACCAAACAAATAATGAATGAATGCAAAGGCTAATGAGAGGCTGTTTGCCCTCATCCTCAGGTCTCATTCTGTATTGACCCTCACAAGCAGTGCAGTGGCTGGCATTTCCTTTATTTCTTGCCACAGATATTTTGTAGGATTTACAGTCATGCCAAACGTATCATGCATGTGCGTTATCTGGATACATGTGTACAAACATACGCACCCATGCACGTCTTTTAAAACAAACTGAACTTGCCGCATAGCCTCCCTGAGCTGTGTGTTGCTCTGCACCTTTGTAGTCTGCGGCCAGCGCTTAGAGATCAGTCCCTGTTCGGACTTAAGAGCTGCAGCCCTGACATTCTGGAAATACATCACCATTTGTTTAGCAATTCCCTCACTGAGGCACAATATCCTAGCATCTTTTGTTGCTGCAAAGACGGCCGCCCCAACGGTGACTGAAATAGATTGATTGTGCCTACCTGAGCCCATGGCGCTGATTAAATGAGACCACTCAGGTAGTTTCTGAAGCCCCGCATGGCCTGTGACCGGGGTTCAGCACAAGGTAGCTGTTCCCAGCAGGCATTCTGTCTTGGATGTGGACATGCCCTTAGTAATGTGAATTCCTGGTGGTAGGATTACCAGGTCAGAGGGTCCTCCATCTTGTCGGATCTTGCTAAATTGCCAGTTGCCCTCTTTGGAGAGACTACGTGCCTATTCTTCAGAGTGTGGCCAGCCCCTTGCTATAAACCCTCGCTTGCACGCACACAGCGTTACTGGACCCCTTGCTTTGCCAGACTGACAGGTGACAGTGCTGTCTCAGCTCTGCTTTCATTTGCATTTCCCTAATTATGAGCATGTCTGGGCATCTCTGCTCGTGCTTTGGAGCCATCTGTATTTCCTTCTCGGTGACAGGGATTATCTGAACATGATGGCGAGTCATTCTCCTGGCACTATCTCCATGCCTCAATCTGTCTGTCTCTTCCTTTCTCCTGGTACTATGTCTTCCCAAAGGTGGATGAGGAATTCTTAGGAGGGGGTGAACAAGACACCACTGTCTTAGGTCTGGGAGTGACAGTCACATATGGGGACGACTGGGCTCACATCTCCACCTTGCTCTGCTGCCATGTGCTGGGCCTGCAAGGGCACAGAAGACCCATTGCAGATGAAAGGGCCTTATTGTCACTGAATGAATGAATGAATGAATGAATGAATGAGCTCAGATGTCACTTAAGAAAGGTTCCCCATTCATGCTTTCCCAGACTAGCCATGTTCCTGGCCCTGTGGTCTTTTTTACACACCATAGTCTTACATAGTGTGTTCTTATATGTTATGGTCCCATACACTATGGTCTTACACACCTTACACGCTGTGCGCTT